TGTTTCTGAACACATTTCATATACGATATAGTCAACAATGAACTTTAATCAATGAAGCATATAGTGATTTTTTTCATTGTTTGACTTTCTCAATTATCCATCATGCATCAGTAATAATATTTCAAGTTTCTCGCCTTTTCTAAAGGCATCTTGGACATCTGGGATTTCTTTATGACTACAAGAGAGTGAGCAGGCATACAATGGGGAACACATATTTAAAGGAAAGTGCTAGCACTGCCTATTTGGCTAACGCCCTCCAGCCATTTGGAAGCAAACAGAAGCCCACGGTGTAGAAGTGATTAAAGTCCTATCAGTTACAAGCAACAGCTGTGAGCTGACCAGTTAAGGTCACACAACTGATCTTGTTAATTTGCAGTTAACACTTTTTAGGGACTCTTGTGCTGCAGAGAAAAACAGTTCCACAAGAGATTGCATGTTTCGTCAAACATTAGTCACAAAGTTAATTTTTCATTACCCGTGCAGTTATTAAATGAATAATACCTGTAGTCTGTCACACTGGGGGTCTGGAATAAGATCTCACAAAATTAGAAGCAAGCAGCCTAAAACTGAATTAAAACTGGCTTATGAAAATAAGGGACAGTGGAAACTATTCCTCCTGCCTCCCAAAAATGTAGTTTCAAGTCTCTTGTACTATGCAAGAAAAGAATACAAGACTTTAAATCTTGATTTTACTAGAAACGGCTTGTGTTTGATACACAGTAGTTGGAATTCTTTCATGAAAGCTTCGTTATCTTTCTTACAAAAAACTTATTGATCACAGATATGCCTGCTTGTATCTGTTTCTAGTTCAAGTGTATGACTGAGAAAAGTTTGCCAACTGGAAATCTTTACGTGATCCTTTGCAACCCACAAAGATTCCTAGGTGTGCAATTATTGTGTGGTGTGGAAATTAAAGTAGGAGCTAGTGGCCACATTTGCATATGAAAAATTCTAATTATGAACCAACTACTTAGTTCCTCTCTCAAAAAAGCCGGGAGTTAGAGGACAAGAACAGACCATGGGTTTTCATTAGGATTCCTAACAGGCTACTTAGGCAAGTAACCAAAAGAGATCCAACTTAGCATTGTAAAGTAATGACCGATGCTTCTGCTATTTATTATTGTTTAGCTGTTTCTGTTGACTGGTAAAACTAAGAGGGAGGGATAAAAAATTATGCATCAACATGTTGCTTGCTCAGTTTGTGTAGAATTCTTCACTATTCTGATCAACCATAATACAAAATTACAAAATACCTCCTAAAGTATTGAACTACAGGTAGGTAATTTTAAAAATGTAGAAACATAACAGCATATGAATGTTTTCCTGAGATTGGATCAATACCATAATAATAATAGTTGTTCTTTCATAGAATTATAATTGATTTAATTAATGATTAAATAAGTAACCTGGTCAAATGCGTTAAGCAATAGCCTTCATACTTTTGTATATACCTGCTTAGTAGGGCTTTCCCCCCCCCCCCCACAAGCGGTGTTCTTTTTTATACAAAGTCAGCTTATTGCCTCCACAAACCGGGTCCTCATTTTACCTACCTCGAAAGGATGGAAGGCTGAGTCAACCTTGAGCCGGGTGAGATTTGAACTTGCAGTAATTGCAGGCAGCTGGTATTACTTAACAATGCTTGAGTCTGCTGCGCTACCAAGGCTCATTCATGCAATCTCATAAAGATTTGATCATTTATGCAATCTGTATATGAAGGAATGTTATTGAAAGAAATATGATATGTTACTATGTTTTTTGCAATATACTTTAGAACAGCAGTCCCAACCTTTTCCAGCTCCGTGGACTGGTAGCAGTGGCGGCGGCAGCAGCGGGAGGAGATGGTTTCACACTCATGCATGCCACTTACGCAAATTGAGCTTCCCACGCTCGCCCATTGCTTGTGCAGCCCAGTTGCCAACGGGCCATGGACCAGTAGTAGTCTGCAAACCAGGGGTTGGGTACCCCTGCCTTAGAAGATCCTAAAATAAGTGCATTTACTATAAACTGTAAAATAAGCCTCCTTCAGACATTATATTGCTCACTGGCAAGCAAACCATTAAAGCCACAAAAAACAGACCAGATTTAAGAAATTTTAGAGAGACTGGAGTTGCAACTGGACAGAGACATTGGTATTGTCTCTGTCTATATAAACAGATGAGTAACTAAAGGGTTTAAGCCAATAGCACTTTAAGAAACAAAGAGACAAGACAGCCTTTCATTGCCCATATTTTTCCCTACTTCAGCAAAGGCTGTTTGTTATTTTGCCAAACGCTCAAGGAACTAGATCAATGTGCCTTCAGAACAGTTTGCCATATTAAAGTGCATGTTTGCTCAAGTAAAATTTTTGGACCATGCAATTTTTTCTGACTAAAACGTTTCTCCACTTTATCATTAAAAATACCATCACAGTATTACAATTTCTCCTGAAAAACTGCTAAATTTGTTACTATATACCAATCTGGTGCTTAGGAACTTTTAAAACAATAGTATTCCTGAACCCCTGTCTTATTGATTCTGGTTTTTCTGCCATACAAGGGATTTACATATATTCTGAAGATATTGCTTTGTATTTGAATATTTTTTTCATTAATACTTTTCAAATATAACATCCCATCCAATATCTGACCAGAAGAGCTGTGTAAGAACATTGTTCAGATGAGTAGAAATACACTACAGTAACCAGGAACACCAGAAAAAGAAACAGGCTGCCTATACAACATCTTACAACAAAATGGATACCCAGGTAATTTTATCAAAAAGTGCCTGACTACCTAACCCACTATAGCACAACCAATACAAGCTATGAAAAAAATAACATCTCTGAAATAACCAACAGATTATTACAACCACATGGCATCATCGTGGCACATAAACTCCCTTTTTATGATCCTGTAATCCAATGAAACTCTCCAAAACATCTTAAGTAAACCAAAAGACTCAGCAGCCCAGGAAGAAAAAACAGGAATCCTCTACTATATACAGTGTAAGGAATGTAACAGCTAATATGTAGGACAGGCAGAAGATTAGCAGAACACATCCATTAACACCATCTAGCAGTCAGAAGACATGATGAAAATGTCTTAATTTCACAATTTGTGGACAGAGTCATCTGGTTTCAACTGGGAAACTATGAGCATCTTAGACCAAACTAAATAAAAAAACCACTAGGGAATTCCTGGAATCTTGATATTCAGACAAAGAAATAAACCAAATATCCATATCACCCAATGATTAAAAGCTAAGAAGGAAACAAGACCAGAACACATTTCCTCCAATGGCCAACAACTCGATAAACATGGATTAACACTAGACAAAAAAAAAAAAAAAAAAAACCAAACAGAAAACAATATCCTAATCAAGGAACTACTCAGCAGAAAATCAAGCCCCCACCAATACTGGCAGGAAAAACTACTATATATAAACAAGGTTAAAGGTCACACTCACTAGCACTGATGTTATCTAGTTGGGTTATGAGCAGTGGTGCGTTCCTCCCAGTTCTGCCCGGTTCCGCCGAGCCGGTAGCGGTGACGATATGACGTCACCAAACCGGTTCCCCCCCCGCGTTATTCTTACCTTTTATTTGGCCCCACCCCCAATCTATTGCTGCCTCCTGAGTCCCAGCTGATCGGCTAGAAGGAAAAAAACTGTTTAAACTCTTGCCGCGGGGCTTCAAAGGGCCGCCCTACAGCTGATCAGTGTTAAAAGGCAGTGTGCTGGTAGACCGGTGCCTCCAAAAACAAATGAGTAGACCAGTGCCTGCAAAAATAAATGAGTAGACCAAAGTCTGCAAAAACAAATGAGTAGACCTGTATAGCTCTGGAAGCAGTTAAAAGCCTGGTAGACCAGTACCTCTGCTAAATCCTAAAGAATTGTCACATGACCATCAAGCCACGCCCACAAAATAAACCATGCCCACAGAACCGGTAGCAAAAAAATTTAGAACCCACCCCTGGTTATGAGATGTCTGCAAGCAAACAGTCAAGCTCAGAAAGCACTAAAGACCCCACATTTCAACTTGAGCTACATATATTCTTTTCTGCATCAGGAGAGTTTTGAGAATATGGTGATGCTAGTGGGGAAGGTGAAACACATAAGACTTCTTTCTCCTTCTTTTTGGTTGACAATGAATCTGCAGATTTTGAGTGGAATTATTTTTTTGGCTTATCTTCCTGTGTTAGGAAAAGTAGTCTGGTTCACATCTGATTGGAACCAATGCCCCTGGTGCTGACATATCAAAAAGCTACATTGAGCTACAGTTTTGCCAGGATTTGCAATTGGAACAAAGTATATATTTGATAAACCCGGAATAATTATTAGAAGTACAAAAGAGCGTTGAAAACCAAGAGATGTGATTGTTAATTTGATAAACCTTTTGGTTATATAGGCAATTCTGTCTAAGCTTCATCATGACATATAAGGTAAAGCTTCTGTCAGTTGTCATTCTTAAAGAAAAATGCAAAAATGGCAACAGACCCAAGGCTTTACTGTGAATAACCAAGAAAACTTAATATAGAAGAAAAAAATGTTCAAAGTAATCCTGAAGAAAAAAAGAAACTCTTTCCTAAACATTGCACGAATCAATAAATCTTTATTATGGTCAAAGACAAGCATAAGGAATGCGGGATACAAAAGTATTTGAAAACATTTAAAAATACACAGTGCGTTAAAGCCGAAGAATCCTTACACCCTGGGCTGAGCACACCCTGTCAAATTAGTCTATTCAAGAATTAAAACATTCTGGTGTGGATCTAGCTCTGTTGAGTACTGCACCAATTTGAATGAGCCCCAGAAAGAAGAACCAGATTTTCCATAAACCATTTTTTTGTCTAAGCAAACTGGGTGGTAAATGGTGATTTTTTTGGGGTGGGTGGGTGGGTGGGGGGAGGGGTTGAATAAAAACTTAGCAAAGATATTCTTTGTTCAATTATTGATTTCTCAAATTGTCAGTCTTTATATTAGCTTTATTTTATGTCAAAAATGTCCAAGATAATCAATCTTACCTTGACATTGCAGGCCTGTTCCATAAGCCTTCTAGCATTTTCTTCAGCTCTGTACCTTTTAGGCAGCTGCACTCTAAAAAACTTTAAAGCCCCTTCAAAATCAGCTTGCAGAAGATCCTCCTTGGAAGTCTGCAAAGAAATAATTGGAGAACAGGTGTAAACAGTGAATCAAAGTAGCTTTGCTCTATTTCATAAGATATAGTATTTATATAAGGATAAATCCAATCAATGGAATAGGAAGCTAAATAACCCTATTTTCTAAAAACAAGAAAATTAGAGTCAGCATAATGTAAGATATTGCTATTCTTCTATACTTAAAAGAAAATTGGAGAAGGGGAATGTGTTGGATATGTTCACTACCCTGAGTTATTTGTAAAATAATAAAGTTGAGAAATAAATACTTAAAAAGTAATGTTAAAATCATGCTGATAGCTTTTCTTTCTCAGACCTCTGAATTGTGTATCATTGTAGTATAAAGTTTTGAAAGCTTCAGAAATGACAGAACAATGCAGCAATTGCCTTCATGGTTAACTATGTATAAAGGTAAGTAATATACAAAAAAAAAAAAAAAACCATTTATAAACATATAAACCCTAGTTATAGCGAACACACCAAAATTAATATACCACAGATGAGGACCAACTTGGAATCTGGGTGTGTTGCCATTTTTTTATGTTAATGATTAAACAAAGTAAATTTGCTATTGTGATAATTCCTCCTATGGAATTCCTCTTGTGATAATTCCTCTTATGAAAGTTAGTACTTCTAGAGTAATAAAGCAGAAATTTATCAATATTCTCATTTCAGCATCTGTGAAAAAAATACACTCTCATCCACATTCCCATGGTATATAATTTTGTGATAAATATTTGTCTGCATTTTTATTTGGGAAATTAAAATGTGAACTCAATAAATTGTACTCACACTCTCATTTTCACTATCTTACTGGGTTTAATTGAACCCCAGATCAGCTTCCTAAAAGACCTGAAAAAGGACAGGCCTCATGGCCCTCCATCTTCTCCTTGTTCCTCAGTGATACACTGCAAATGTGGCTGGTATGTTGCAATGGAATTCTCTTTTTACATACATGTAAGTATTATAGTTCTTTATTTTATGTATACATATGATAGCATGTATGCTCACACACATATATTTAGGTATGTTTGTCTTATCAAACAGGAAGGTTATAAATGCATTCAAATATTCAAGACAGAATTTAGCATACAATGATAAATTTTGGCTTTCCTAATGAGAAATACTTGACTTACAGCCACAATTAAGCCCAAAATTTCTGTTGCTAAGTGAGACAGTTATTAAGTGAACTTTGCTCCATTTTACAAACTTTCTTGCCATACTTGTTAAGTGAATTACTGTAGTCGTTAAGTTAGTAACATGGTTGTTAAGTGCATCGGGCTTCCCCATTGATTTTGCTTGTCAGTAGGTTGCAAAAGATGATCACATGACCCCAGGAAACTGTACCTGTCATAAATATGAACCAATTGCTAAGCATCTGAATTTTGATCACATGACCATGGGGATGCTGCAACTGTGATAAGCATGAAAAATGGTCATAAGTCACTTTTACAAGTCCCATTTGAAGTGCCGTTGTAACTTTTAACAGTCACTAAATGAATTGTTGTAAGTCAGGGACTACCTGTAAAGGGAGAAACTAACTCATATATTAAATCCTTCAAATTGAATATTGACTAACATAAGACAGGAATATGGAGGAAATCCCTCCTTAGTGGAATCCTATCTTGATATGATGAGATATCAGTAGATGTAGATGTGAGAGAACCTGAAATTATAAGAAGGTTTGGGTCGGGCAAGCATCATAATGCAGGTGATACAGTATATTAACAAAGCTTTGTGACCAGAATTCTTTATCTGAAATAATGTTGTCTGAAACTCCTGTTTCAGACAACATAAATACAGATTCCACAAATAGACATCATCACAGGATGGACAACCAAAATATGGATTGCATAATAGGAAGGAAGAGAAAGAGGAACATTTAAGAGACTGCTAATAGGTGGATGAAAAGTTCACACAAGTTCCAAACTACCCCTTTTAAAAAACAATCTAAAGCAGTTAATATCTGTAGTATCTAACCGATTTACCGTAGTTCATTTAACTTATGCAAAAAGGATCTAAGAAGCTGTAGAAAGAGGAAAGAGACACTGGGAAAATTGAATTGGAAGAAGAAGACCAGAAAAAAAAATCTTCCAAAATATCATCAAGAAGCACCTCCAAGAAGCTTCTGAAACAAATTATCATGCTGGAGGAAAAAGTCTTGGGGAATAAAGTTAAAAAATAATTGAAGCCAGACATCAAGCAAGAATAGACATGGCAAGATATCTTGAATAAGAATGTCAACAAATTGAAGGAACTAATGAAAAAAACATGAAAAGCATATTTATGATCAGAGGAACATTTTAATTAGGTTAGGGCTATTCAAGTGTACAAGTAGTCCTTGCTTAACGACCAGTCACTTCCCATTTGAAGTTATGACACACATACACACAGAGCTACTTACAACTCAGTTTGGAGTTCTGATGGCCACACACACACACACAAAGCCACATAATTGCATTTTGGGCATACGGCAACCAGCTCCCATTTATGGCCATCTGCAGCATTCCAGCATTTTTTGCTGATTTCTGGGATTTACTTCTGGTTTCTGGCAGAAAAAAACCCAAAAAACCGTCCACTGAAGAAAATGGGTTTGCTTAACCACCACAGTATTCATTTAATGACTGTGGCATTCATTTAACATTTGTGACATTTGCTTAATGATTGCCTAAAAAAAGTTGTAAAATCTGGAGCGGTCACATGGTAACCTACTTAATGCACCACCACGTCTTACAACCATAATTCCGGGCTCAATTACAGTTGGAAGTCAAGGACTACCTGTAATCATGGAAGAGGCTCTAATTGAAGCAAATTAAGTTAAAGAAGATTAAAAGACTATTCTAAAACCCTTTGCAAACAAGATTACAGAAAAACAGAAACATTTGCCAAGTCAGCATATGTTCCGGAAGCAATTCCCTTAGAAAATGAGTTTATATAATAACAATAGATCAGATGAAATACAACAAACTATATAAATTATTTATTGAACTTTTAAAGATGCATGAATAAGGACATTAAATGCCAACACTCCATTCCAACATATATGAAACAAGACTGTGTCGCCTAGAATTTTCAAAAATTGTTGTACAATATATAGTTACATAATAATGAAAAGAAATACAAGATAAAATATGAATTATTAAAAATTTGCAATAATTCACTTGGCAAGTAATCTAATGACAATACAGTCATACAGGCAGGCTGAAACCAAAGACAATGAGCCAATTATCAGAAAAGGCAGAGGATCATAAAGTTAGATAGGTATAGATGAATAATAGAGATAGAACATAGAGTTGAAAGGGAGGGACCTTGGAGGTTATCTAGTTCAACCCCCTGCTCAAGCAGGAGACCCTATACCTGTGATGGCAAACCTGTGGCATGCATGCCACTGTAGCCATGTCAGTGGGCACACAAGTTCAGTTCCGGCGCGTGCAGCTGATTTTCAGGTCTTCTGGGCCACCAGAAGTAGGGAAACAGGCTGTTTCCTGCCTCCAGAGGATCTTGGGGGTGGTGGGGAAGGCCCGTTTTTCTCTCACCTGGCTCCAGAGCCTTTCTAGGAGTCTGGGGAGGGTGAAAACAGCCTTCCCCTCCCCAGAGGTCCTCCAGAGGCCAAAAATGGCCCGTTTGCCAACTTCTGGTGGGACTGGAAGGCCCGTTTTTTGCTGTTCCCAGCCTCCAGAGCCTCTCTAGGAGTCTGGGGAGGGTGAAAATGGCTTTCTCCCTCACCCCCGGAGGTCCTCCGGAGGCCGAAAATGGCCCGTTTACCAACTTCCAGTCCCACCAGAGGCTCTGGAGCCAGGTGAGAGAGAAAAACAGGCCTACTGGGCCATTGTGTGCCAGGAGCAGGGGGAGCAGGGCCGGGTCACACGTGCATGCGCGGGGTGCATAAATTATGGGTTTGGGCACATGCACGCGTGACCCCCCCCCCACGGACCCCCTCTCTCCTGGCACGCGATGGCAAAAAGATTAGCCATCACTGCCCTATACCATTTCAGACAAATGGCTGTCCAATCTCTTTTTGAAAGCCTCTAGTGATGGAGCACCCACAACTTGTGAGTGCAAGCCATTCCATTGGTTAATTGTTCTCACTGTTTGGAAGTTTCTCCTTAGTTCTAGGTTGCTTCTCTCCTTGATTAGTTTCCATCCATTGTTTCTTGTTTTGCCTCCAGGTGCTTTGGAAAATAGCTTGCCCCCCTCATCTTTGTTGCAGTCCCTCAAATATCAGATAATAGATAATTTTATTTTTGCTTTATTTATTTAATACATGTATTTAATTACAGCAAAACATCATGCTAGAATGTGGAATACAAAGGGTATATTAGATACAACAGGATGGTTCCTGAGTTCTTTCTGTGGAACACATATAACTTAACTTGAAGGTACATTCAAAGGGGAGAAGCACTTGAAAAGCAGGTTTGCTATTAGAAATGGATAACTGGGCAGAGAAAAGAATACCTCAAGCTTGGTCCAATAGTAAGGGTTGCAGGGCTACTGAAAAGACAAAAGAGCTCTAGAGTTCCAAGATCCAGGAAGAAGAGAAGAAAAAAGGAAGATTGTGCAGAATTGGAGTACTACAGGTAAAACAATTCAGTTAGTGGATTGGCAAGCACAGAAAAGCAACAGTAGTCCCAGTAAATCCAGCTGGCACATTGGCCAGAAAAAGTTGGCAAGGGATCCAGGCAGTTGGCCAGGAGGTAGGAGGTTTTGCTTGGCAGAATGCCTAGAAAAGAGGAATCTGGTATGAAGGAAGCTTCTGACATAAGATTGCCTGGAAGCAGAACCTTGAGAAACCACAGAAGTTAGGTCAATGGTTGGAGTCAGGGCATGAATAGTGAGAAAAGCAACAGTGAGAAACAATGGTTTTTTTGCCCAGCAATTCGGTTATAAACAGAATGTAATGAATAAGTGGCACCATTAATGGCACCATTACACCAGACCAGGATGGAAGAAAGAAGCTGGATGGGAGTCAAGCTAAACCTGCACCCCAGTCAGAGTGG